TCTTGTTTAATCGTTTAATATAAGATTTCTGTGTAACGGATTACACATATTTTTCCGTAAGAAACACATTTATTCAGATTTTGACTCTGATGCAGAATACTATTCTTATTAGTCATTGATGGAACTTTCAGTTCACATGCACCAGAATCTTTCAATGATAAATACCGTGCATAATCCATGCGTATCAATGATATTCGTGTGATTATTATTTGCAATAGAGAGAATTACTTTTAAACGATGATTAAAGATCAAATCCGAGTTTTCCGTTTTGTCTGGTCAATTATAGACAAATAGTTAAACGGAAACTCATACATTGCCAAAAAATTAGTTTTCAGTGAGATCTTCATACATGCAAAAGAAGTATAAATACCCGATCTCAATTCTCAAAGCTCTGATTACCGTACTAACAAAAAAATTTTTTTCAATATCTCACGAAGCCTAACTTACAATCAATATCATGGATAAAATGTGTGTATATCAAGCATTTCATTTATTTTAGAACATTCTATATTGTTCATTTACTGATCAATTTTTATTCCATATTCAAACAATATTGTTTCAATATTGTTTAAATTTTATTTTATTATTATTTCCTCGAATTAACAATATTTTTTGTCCATATAATAGCTTGTGAGTTTATAAAGTCTTATAATAATATTTTTCTAATAAATTTATTCAAAATCACACAAGCTTAACCAATGCATTACAATAAACAGTAAGGAGTGAGTATCGTCCAATATTTTTGGTTATTATTATATTATTTCGCAATGTGTTACAATACTGACACCACACTTATATCAAATTAACAGAGTGTGAGTATAGATAGATAAATTAATTCATGCATTTCAGTATATCATAGCTGTAAATCAAATAATTAACATATAGTGTATTTACAAATCGGTAGTGAGTGAGTATAAAATTTTTTTATTTACGTTTGAATTATGCATAATTTTAACAACAAATCTCTCCTTGTTTGATTTGAATAACTAGATTGTGAGTAGATTATGATTTTATTCGTTTTAAAACCTTTCTCGCTTAACTAATCACGTGATAAAACCAATAGGAAGTGAGTATAAGCCACATGATTATATATTTCGTGATTGATACGTAATCTGTTTTAATTATACTGATATACTATATATTTCAATTAATTAGGGAGTAAGTAAGGTTTTTGTATAGTGCGACAATGAATAAGGATTATTAAATTTTTTATTCTGTATTGAACCATTAGATTGTGAGTATATGTACCTTTTTAAAACTACTTTCGTAGTATTTACAGTATATATAATCTAATTCCTATTAACCAACAGGAGGAAAGTATCAAATTCGCGAAATTTAATGGAATATCTTAACGTCTTGAACTAACCCTATTCATGTAAAATTAATTTATCAGTGGGTGAGTGTAAATTCTAATTAGCACGACTTCAATAAATTATTAAGAAAAGGTTCTTTCCTATTTGAATAATTAGATTGTGAGTACAAAGTTTGGTTGCCTCTAAATTTCATCAATAAAACATAATTCATTAATCTTTTTATGTAAATTTATAGGGGGTATGTATAAAGTTTATTGGACTTTGATGATAGACCTGCCTTAACTAATTTCTGTTCACCTTAAATCAACAGCAAGTGAGTATTAAACCAATTAAATATATAGTTAAAACAAATCTTTGTTAATCTTTATAATTCTCAATTATTAGAATGTAAGTATAATACCAGAACTATATCATTATCTTTGAATAACGAGCTCTAACTAAATTTTGTGTAACAGTCAGTAAGTACACTTTTGCTGTATTGTCATAGTTAATAAAGCGCATCTCACTAATGATGTATTACATTTGAACAAATAGCGAGTTAGTATGAGTTTAAACTTCTTGGTTCAAATAAACAAATGAACAATTTGTTAATAACTACGAGGCTTGTTAACTATATTTACATCTAATCAGATGGTATGTATGAATGTTTATTAACTTATGTTTCAACGAGGATCCTAATTAATTAATTAATTATATATGCTTCTAATTAACAGGGAGTAAGTACAAATTTCTTTCAAAATAATTTTGACAAAGTCAACAAACACTTCAATTAACTGTTTAACCATGTTTGCGCAAAATTGTTAGACTGTAAGTGCAAATCTTCATTAATTTACTTAAATCTCCATTAATTCTCAATTAATAATATTTGTGTTAAATTTTTAGAGGGTGTGTATGATTTAATGTGGCCCATATAAAACCATTTATTTGCACCTTTTCGTTAACTCAAGCGTTCGCATTAAATTACTAGATGGTAAGTTTCATCATATTCAAACAGATAATTTATTCCGTACTTATATGATTTCCCGTTGCATTGAATTAATAGGAAGTAAGTATATTATCTATTAATTGGCAAGATTTGATAACAAATAATTTAATAATGTCGAATTACAGGGAGTGGGTATCCTTTTATGTTCCGAATTCATAATCCGATTTAATAGTAATCTCTTTTCTGATTAAAACCATCTCTTTTCTATTATAGAGAGTAAGTATAATTTGTTAAATTTGACAATAACTCTTGAATTAACCTTTCCTTCAAATTAATGTTAATGCATAACATTAATTTATAGAGAGTGAGTGTATAAATTATCGTTATGATTTTAGAATAATTCCAAAAATATATTAATTTTTAATCGTTTATGTTTTCTTCGCAATATCAGACGGTAGGCAACGGTTCTTTATTATATTTTATTGACACTTAATTTCAGAGTACTCTAACTTAATCAGTAATCATTTACGTTACATTAGACGGTGAGTAAAAGTTGTAATCGATTGAAAATCAATCATTCAAAATTTTTCTAATCAACCGCACACGAATTTCTTTGACAGAGTGTAAGTATGAGAAATATGGTGACTACTATATGAAACTTTAATATTTTTAATATTTGTCGCTCAATTATATTATGTAGGGTGTAAGTACAATTACTTGGTAAATTTCTAATTTATCATCAATAGATGACATTTAATGCTATATTTTCACGGATAATAAGACTGTGAGTATACTAAAAAAACATTATTTTAATTCTTGAATAACATTTCGCTAATTGCAAAATTATATTTATGCTAGTTTGTAAGTAAAAGAATCTTGCATATTTGTATTAAGCAAATAATTCAAAATTCTAAGTCCACATCAAATTTTTAGACGGTAAGCACAAAACTCTGATATATTAATATTTTAATATCTCGTTCTTAATTCACAAACAATACTCATTTACTTGTTATTTTGACAGGCCGTGAGTACAAATTTTTTTTACACTAGAACGTCATTCAAAACAACCATTTAATCAATTATTAATTTTTAGAAGGTAAGATTTTTATTAACAATTGTCACTAGTAATTGTCTTCTGAATAATATTTAATTATTCTTGCTGAATTGCTATACTGTAATAGGGAGTAAGTGTTAATAACAGTATTCTTAGCGTTAGGTCGATCAATTACTGTTTGTCCTAACATCTTGTATCACGTATAACCAGTAGCGAGTGAGTAGAAAGTTTAATTGATTTAAGTTTGACTACAGTAATATATATATATTTGTTACTAAATTGTTATATTTCACGTAAAATAATTAGATTGTGAGTATGAAGTTTTAATTGATAATTTCATTTTCAACGACATTTCTAATCGACCACATCTCTATAAAAATCAGGGATGAGTAAGTATTTAATTTCACGATATTTCTTTCGACAATATTTATTGCAATATACATAACGCTGCTCTTTATACCAAATTTTACTATTAGATCGTAAGTAATGTTTTATTGCGACGTCGCTCAGATTATAATTCGAAGCTTTCTAAACAATTATATTTGCGAAAAATTATTAATCAATTTCTTACGTTCCACTCAAATTAATTTTAATTGACAGAGAGTAAGTATTATTATGTTCATCGGGATCTGTTTGATTGACAGACTGCCCCAAATAACATCATCAATCTTATTTATTCTTTATTTGTTTTATACGTTTGTTTAACCTCTAATCAATATTTTTAATTGCCTTTTGTTAGTAATCTGTAAGTAGAGAAACTTTATTGTTTATGCTCATTCGACCACCATATAACCAATGTTTTGCTTATTAATTAATAGAGAGTATGTATCAAAGAAGTATTTCAAATTATTGATGATTTAATATTAATAACGTGTTGTTAAATAACCTTACACTTTCTTGTACTAAATTATTAGACGGCAAGTATAAACTTTTTTGGATTTATATTCTGTTATCTGCTCGTAAATAACTTCAAATTACGTGACATATTAATAGGGCGTAAGTATTATATTGTTATTATACTGTATAATTTGTTCAAATATATGTTTCTTACTAAGTAATTTTTTTTGGTCACGATACCGTAGACGGTAGGTTTTGAAATTTATTAGGCTTAGTTAATATATCCTGATAAATATTAATTACTTAATATGCCACCTAATTGTTCAGTTAGTAAGTATTGAAGTCTATCCTTTAAAACATAATTTATCAAAATAACATTTATAATTCTAACGAGTCTTGTTAATTACACATAAATAGCGGGTAAGTCCTGGATCTTTTAGACGCCTACTTAAAAACGATCAACTAATTAATTGTGTTCTCAACAAATACGTATTAGAATGTAGGTGTAAATTTTTGTTAGGCTCTTGTTCAAATTAACAATTATTAATTAGTTTTCGATAAATTGCTAGGTTGTAAGTATATTGCGCTGAAATCCATTTTTAGGAAATTAATATTAATAACATATCATCCAATCATCAGCGAGTAAGAATGCCGAGTCTTTTTATTTATTTATATTTGATTTTCAAGTTGAATAAAATTCTAATTCATAATCTCATTCTACTTATATTAGCCGGAAGTAAATAGAATTTTGTTTATTTTAATTAGTTTGCTTACATTTAATGCTTCTTTAACTAACTAGTTTATAATTAATTCACAGGAGGTAAGTTTCTACAGACTGAAGTTTTAATTTATATCAAAGTTCAATACTGTAATGGGTAATCAACAAATTCGTATAATCAATAGCGAGTAAGTTTTTTGAAATTTTATGCCATATTTCAATAATCAATTATTGTATTATTAATTTTTTCTGATCCGCTTATTGTGTTGGTTAAATAGGGGGTAAGTTGAAAGTTGCATTAAGTTACATTCAATATTTACTTTCAAATAACCTTCATATGACGATCCTATTACAGAATGTAAGTATGAAGCTTTATTATATTCATATTGATATTATTGATTGTTGTTACCTATCAGTGCCACATTTTATTTATTAGGACCTGTAAAGAATGTAATAATGAATACTATGAATACGGATGGTGCAATAATTGCTATGCCAAAAGATTCCAGCAAGACTTTAAAAACTGGACGAGCGGTAACGACGTCGTAGACAAATTTATTCAAGGCAATCAACTTAAAGCAACTAGTTTTACCACGTTCATCGAATGGATCCCCTTTGAAAAGTTCAAGGATGTGACATATTTATCTAAAGGGGGATTTGGCTCAGTTTCTAAAGCAGTATGGCCAGAAGGTTACATCATCGGCTGGAATAAGGAATTGATTAGAATTCCTAATGTGAATGTTTGTTTGAAGCGTCTAGATAATTCAGTCAATATTTCTCCGGAATTTTTACAAGAGGTACAGTATATTTTTAATACTACTTTGTGTCTGGTGTATGTAATATTGGATCATTCTTGTTAATATAATATTAATTAACAGGTTCAGAATCAACTAAAGCTTCGAGCGAAAAGTGCCACCGTTCCTGTTTATGGATTGAGCAGAGACCCTGTATCCAACGATTATATTATAGTCACAAGCTATTCCGAACATCAAAGTATCAGAGATACGATTTTGAAATCATTTGAAAGGTTCAATTGCCACACTAAGACGAGGGGCTTATATTATATTACTAAGTGTCTAAGTGAAATACATGAAATTGGATTAGTTCATGGAAATATACATTCTGGCAATATAATTTGTTATGGAAAATCCAACCTATGCTTTTCTGATCTTGGATTGTACAAGCCAGTATCAGAATATTCGAAGCTTGAGGCGTCGTCCAAAATTTACGGTGTTCTTCCATATGTAGCCCCCGAAATATTAAAAGGTCACAAGTACACGCAAGCGGCTGATATTTATTCAATTGGCATCGTAACCTTGGAAATTCTTATAGGATTTCCAGCATTTTATAATATTCCTCACGATGAAAATCTAGCATCACAAATCTTGACGGGTCTTCGTCCTGAGATTCCGTCACCTCTTGTCCCATTTATTCTTGATTTGCTTAATCGGTGTTGGGACGCTGACTATAGTAAAAGGCCAACTGCCAAAGAGCTAGTTAATGCTTTCGAACAATGGAACACCAGTAAAGGTTGTTATGATTATGATGAAACTACCGAATTACATAATCAAATCGAAGAAACCAAACTTTTATACACAAAACAAGAATATCCTATGTATGACCCTGTTAATGTCAAAGTTCACCCACAGGCTTTGTATACTAGCCGCCCCTTGAGTATCAATAGCACTTGAACACCGATATGATGGTAAGCGTCATTTATGATCTGCCTGGTTTTAAAGTTAACTTTATTAAAGGTCATTATCATTCCATTTATCTTTATTACTTAGTTATTTTCAAACGAAACATGTGATTTTCCTTTGACTTCCAATCTATATATATTTATTTTCACCATTTATCAAAGTTATTCTTTCTATTATATATTATTTGCTATCAGATTTTTATTATCTCTTACATACTGCAGTTTTTGATCAAATTTATGTTGTTTCCCGCAAATCGGAGCATCATATACACGGGCAAATTTACCAATGTATTAAGAAATGAATCATTATTTTTATTTTCATGGGAAATATTGTAGGGTTGCTATTTTATATAAATAAATTATTTTGTTTATTGGCTTAAAGAAATAAAGAGCTTTACTATGTGCAGCAAACAAAGTTTACGATAATTAGCAACAGTTTGACAGTTTAATTTATTTAAAAGTTGCAATTATTTGATATATTAATAAATTTTTTTACTGAAGGTGCTTGATAGGGTGTATAGTTTTATTGAAACAAACGAGTAAAATGAACTGGCTATTATCAGGATTGCATGCGCAGTTATTTACTATTGTAACAGGGAGAAATGGGACGCGACGTTAGTCACATGACCTATCATCGTAGCAATGGGTAAGTCGGCTGTGATAATTAGGTAATAAAGGAAGGACGGGAAGGATTGTGAAAAGAATTATGTAATTTAGCTTTA